GAACTTTTATTTTGGAAAATTTCAAACCTACAGAAAAGTTGCAAGAAAATCATAGACACAGGTATACACTTCATCTAGACTCACCAATTGTTAACATTTTACCTCATTCACGAGATATTTTTGTATTTATATATACACATGCAAGTAGTATGTTTTTCCAGAACAGTTTGAAGACGTTACAAACTTCATGACACTTAAACCACAGTCCTTCAGCATATCTCCCTCAAAACAGAACACTCCCCCCACAGAACCATACGCATGACCATATGTCACAGGTTTGGTTTCCAGGAAGCTGACTCTGAGATGAGCCTGGGGAAGGTTTATTTAGGTGTCCTCCTGGGATACCACCTGTGGAAGGGAAGGTGTGGACGCCGGACTGCCAAGGGTGGCCTCAGTCCGTCCCATAGAGAGTGCTGAAGCTGGGGTGGCCCTTCAGAGTTGTCCTGAATTGGGACAAGGAGGCTGGATTTTTATATTCCTATGTCGACAGGTCACTGCATGAGGGCTGCCCGGGAAGGGGTGTGTGATCTGAGGCAGTGGTGCTCTCTGCAGCTGAGTCAGTTCAATTCCAAGGACAGCTGACATCCTTCAATCCTGGGGGACTCTGAGCAGTGCATTATAACAGTCACCGCAGTCCACCCCTTTACCCTCAGGGGAAAACGTTAGAGAGGACAGTCCAGGAGACAAATCAAAGCCCCTACTGCTGCAGCTGGGCCTCAGTAGATATTATTTTTCCCCTCCATTATCCATTCTAGATTTCTCTCCTGGTCTCAGTGGCTTGCCTGGTGGTATGACCCAGGCCTTCATGCACAAGAGGTCTGAGCCTCTGGTTTCCATACCCTTTTCAGACTGTGGTTGCTGAACTTGTCCTTATACCATCAGAATTGGGCAAGAAAGTACCAACGGGCACCCAGACAGACCATTTGGGAGCCAAACTCTCCTCCCACTGTGTGATAGAGGCCCCCCCCCCAACCTCCTCCTGAAGACCAGAGTCCGTCACTCCTGCTGGGACGTGACTCCTCCCTCTGCTGCAGTCTCTTGGTGAAAGTGCCCAGGGGGCAACTGTAGCTAATATTTCAGTGGGACTCCTGCTGTTTCCCCTGGTGAAAGCATTCCCCCTTTTGGAAATTGGATCGATAAACCTGGAGAGTCCAGAGTAGCAGGGTAGGGGTGATGGTAAGTGGAGAAACCCCAGCCTCTACCCTATGTCATCTGCCTGTTGGGAACATGGCACCAGAAAAAAAAAAAAAAAAGTCATTAACTTAAAGTGTGCATGGCACCCTGGGAGATCCCAGCCCATCCTAAGGTACCGCCTGAGCTGGTGCTTTAGCTGTGCCTAGAAAATGCCATTCCATGGCTCTGCCGCCAACGGCTTCTGAGTTGGTGCGGTGTATGGTATGACCAGTGGATTTCATGGCCTTGTGTCCCTCACACACCTCCTTTATTGTAAAATGGGTCCCTTGGGCTGACTCAGCATGATAGGGGACCCCAGTGGATCAAACCCCTGGCAGGAAAGGCAAATCCATCCCGAAAATATGCGTCTATTTCTTATCAAAATGAATTCTTACTCTCGCAATCACGTGGCTGACTGGGAGCTGCGGCTCACTGCCACTGCCCAGCATCGTGGGAGAATATTGTACCACATATGGCTAGCACAGGAAAAGATTAAAATTCGGAGTGTGGTTTCTACTGAATGCATATTGCTTTCGCACCATCATAACGCTGAAAAATCGTAAGTTGAAGCATCATAAGTCGGGGACTGTCTGTATATGATGACAGAGAGTGAGAGAATTAACATAGCTCTAGGGCAAGACCAAAATACATACTGTTGTCTGTTCCAAGTGAATATAAACTATTTGTGATCCTTTCTGTTTGGGGTGGAAAAGTCTGCTTTCATCAACCAGTGGCCACATGTCTTGTACCTAGGACAGTATCAAAGATGCCACATTTGACACGGCAGCTGCAACTGCAGTAATTCACTCTCACCCTTCTAGTTGCCTCTCATATTTGCAGGAACCAGACTGTCAAATGAAATGAAGATACAGTGGGACCACTGCCCCAGTGGCCTTTAAGTCACAAAGGGTGGCACCGATTTCTGCCTCCAACCTGAGCTTCAGGAGCGATTTCAAAGGTATGTTTCCTCAGCCCTTCCCCGCCCCTAAATTCTCACCCCACAGGTCAAGGAACCAGCAGGGGTTTGTGCCAACATCCCAGTACGTCTATTCCATGGACACATTCAGGAATCAGGAAAATGGCCGCTGAGTAGGTCCATAAACCCCGAGGACCAGTGCGAGCCGTGCCTGGGCCAAGACTCCAGGTAGCACTTGGTCTCAGGTGTCCTCAGTCTAACAAGGGGCCCCTGATGACGCTGCATGTCCTGGTTTCGTTCTGAACTCAGCCCCTGTGTTCAGCAGTCCTCACAATGCGAGGGCATTCCCTTTCCCAGTGGACGGTTGCCTGAGTCAATGGCCGTCGGCTCTTTTGTGGAAGGAGTGCGGGGAATTCTTACCTTATCCATTTGGTGTTGCAGCGTTCTTCCTCCTGAAGACTCAGTCTGTCCTTCAGTCGATAAGAGTTTCAGTCTGAAAACTGGCTCAGATCCCGAAACCGGGAAAGGGATCATGACTGGTTATTGGGGCCACCTGTTACCCATCCTTGCAGTAGTTTGATTGTACAGCTTGAGTAGCCCACTTGTTGGCTATCCATCGATCTCACCCAGGGGTTCATCATTCTGTGAACAAGCGCCGTAACTCACCAGGTAAGCCCACCCTCTCTGATTGTTCGTGCCCCTTACCTTGCATTCACCTGGTTTCTGACCTTAAGCAGTTAAGCACTACAACCTGGTCTCTCTTATTTCAGGGTCCCATGATCTTCATATTTTTTGAGTATCTTGTCTGATACATCGTACCAGCTTGTTTCCACTGTTACACCACACCAGTTATCCCCTGGTCAAAGTTCTAGGACTTGCACATTCAGGAGCTGCTACCTTGTGCCAGGTGGCACCTTTGTGCTCCATCCACCAGTGCCGAAGTCCTTACTGCCAGCCAGGTGGGTGATCCAGCTCCAAGATTCCATCTTTGTACCTGCTCCCTCAGGCCCCCCTAGTAGAAACTGTCCCAGATTGGACTCCCAGGAGGCAGTCTCGGAGATGGAGATTAGCCTTCAAGAGGTGCTTCTGGGCTTACCACCTGGGGAGGGGGAGAGGAGGAGGACGGAGCAGGAAACAGTATGGGGGAGGGAGACGTTGAGCTGCAGCTCAAGCTCAAGGAAGGCCTCAGCCAACCCCACAGAGTTTTAAAGCTGGCTGTCCGGCCTCAGGCAGTGGATGCGGGCTGCTTCAGGAGAGGGCCATGACCTTGGGCAAGGTGATCTCCAGCTGAGGCGATTCCAAAGCGAATCACAGCTGAGGGCTGTGTGCTTCCTGCCTTCCCTGGATGGTGCATCA